AGACCATAGTGTAGAAGGATAGATTACACAACACAAAACCAATGCCATTTATGAAAATATCATAATGAATTTCATTCCTTTTATTACTAACTTGCCCCTCCTTCGGGGTGCTTCTTCCGGCTGGGCTGGAGCAGGGGCCAAGGCCATGGCTCTCTGGGCGCTGCTCAGCCCTGGAGTGCTGATGGGGACTGGGCACGCGGTGTTGGCTATGGAGAATCACGCTGGTGCTCTTCCTGCACAACACCAAGCTACGACACCAATGGGAAGAGCAAGGGGAGCTGTTCCTGCCCCTCATCTTTCTGTTCCTGGTCCTGGGCTACCTGCTGCTCTATCTCGCTGTCACTCATGGACCCAGGCCATGTGACTGCTCAGTCCCAATCTCAGTAGGAGCCTAACGAGGAATAGACAGCTATGGTACCTCAGGCTAACCCACTTCGACGTTGCAGATACTGCCTGGTGCTGCAGCCCTGACACTGTCGTGACTGTCGTCGCTGTGTTCGCCGTTATGACCACCACTGTCCCTGGATGGAGAACTGTGTAGGTGAATGCAACCACCCACTCTGGCACTGCAGCTGGTGGTTCTCCTCTGGGACCTGTTTCTGGCATGGTAAGTGCACTGGAGAGTGTGGACAGTATACACATAGATGCTCACAGAGTGAGGACTCCCTGCATTTCCCCAGCATCTCCCTCTCTGTCCTCAAGGTCCAGCCTCCCGTTCTTCCAGCCCTAGGAGCTGTGGCTGTGGTCTACCTGGCTCCTGTTTTCCACCTTCCTGCTGCTTTCCTTCTTCTCATTGGTGGTCGGCCTGTTCCTAACCTCACACCTCTACCCGGTGGCCAGCAACACTACTACTGGTAATTCATGTCCACACACCGAATTGTCTACCTCCGCCAGCGCACCAGCAACCCCTTTGACGGAAGTCTGACATGAAACCTGTCCCACTTCTTCTGTGGGTAGCCCTCTGGGCCCTGGGAGACGCTCTGGGCTGAAGAAGGGGAGGAAAGCAGTATCCAGGCTGTCTAGGGTTGCTGAAGAGAAGGTGCCATTATGCCTAAAATCCGGAGGCTGTGCCCCCAGAGACCAGTCTAGTTTGCCCGAGCTCTTTACTCCTTCCCAGAGCTCTCAGCCCTCAGCAAAGCAGCAGACAGAACCCCCCACCCCAAACAAGGAAAGCATGTAAGTGGGGGGGGCGTGCTTGACACAAAGAGAACCCAGACTCCACCATGACCCCTGGCCTGGCTACCTTGAATATATAGTTTTATTAATTTAATACTCTATAAAGGCAAGTATTAAAAAGAAAAAACAAAATTTAAAAAAGAATTAATGACTACTTCAAACATAGACAAAAATAGAACATCATAGAGAATGGTAAATATCTGTGGCAGATAATAAATCTGAAGCATTAGAGGTCCAAACATCAAGGTTCATTTGACAAATAGTTTCCAGCAATATTTGCTGTCTAGTAAGGATGCATGCAGTGTTGGGCCACTTAAGCAAAGCCCCATCCAGAATAAAAGTATTTATCACATTTTTAGAAACCATAAGGGTCAATATAGGCCTTACCAAGAAGCACTAGGACTTGAGCAACAACTTAAGGGAGCATTACCCACGAGATAGTTCTCTGGGCATGTCTGTAGAGGATTATCTTGATTGTTTACATTGAAGCAGGAAGCCCCATCTACTGTGGGTGGTAACATTCCCTGGCTAGGATCTTGAACTGTACAAATGGGAAAGGTAGCTGAGCAGCACCATGCAGTCATAATTCTGTTTCCTGATATGACCAGTTGCTTCAGGTTCCTTCGCCTTGACTTCTCCACCATGAAGGAGCATATTATTGAACTGATCCAGAGTAAAGTCTTTCTCCCTTAAGTTGCTTTTGTCAGAATATTTTACCACAACAACAGGAAAAGAATCTAATGCTGGGAGGTAAGGAAGTAAGATGTGTTGATACTCTGGAAAAGAGTATTAAAAAGAAAGGGAACAAGTTGAGCAAAGTTCCTAATGATAGAAAGGGACATGGGTATTTTCAAAACAAGATAGCCAGTCTGCTGGAGTGGAGGCAGAAAGATGAAAGAAGTAGGAGATGGGGTTAAGGACGAATTAAGAATGGAGGTAGGGAGCTGGAGAGATGGCTCAGTGGCTAAGAACACTGGCTGGTCTTCCAGGGGGCCTGAGTTCAATTCCCAGCAACCACATGATGGCTCACAACCATCTATAACGAGGTCTTGTGCCCTCTTCTGGCCTGTAGGGATACATGCATACAGAACACTGTGTACATAATAAATATTTTCTTTTAAAAAGAATGGAGGTAGGAAGATCTTGATGTAAATTGACTGTAGGCAGGCACACTGAGACAAATTGTGTTCTCCTAAAAGCTATGTTCAAATGCTCATCCCTGGTACCTGTAAATGTTACCTGATTTAGGAACTGAATCTTTTCTGACACTAAGATGTTAAGATGATGTCCTGCTGTGTTACCATGGGCTCTCATCTACCAGCTGGTTTTGTAAGAGGAGAGAAATTAGGACACACGCATACTCAGAGACGAGACAGTCATGTGAAAACAAAACAGATATGTAGAGGGAACACAATGTTAAAGCAGGCAGAGATTGGAATGGTACATCCAGCAGCCAAGGAAGGCCAAGGATTGTTGATAACAGCCAAGACCGAGGAGAAACAGATTCTCCCTCAGAGCCTCCAGAAAGAACCAGCTCTGCATGACCTTGGCTGTGCGCTGAGAACAGTTAAAGTGTAAGTGTCTATTGTTTTAAGTCTCACAGTTTGTTACAGCAACTCCGAGAAATAGACCCAGTGAGCAAGTATAGAAACAATTCCATGATTGCAATAGTCCAGTCAAGAAGTGACAAGGGCCAGGATCTGGTGAGTAACGATGGCAACAAAACAGTAAAAAACAGATCCTAGATTCACCGAGAATGTACAGCCAGTATCCTATGCTGAAATATGAGATGTGGAATATGATTGATGTTATGTAGTATTGTCATTGCCTGTATTAATGTTTAGATATTTATATACATGCATGTGGGCTTAGAAGTGTACATATTTTCATTGCTCAGATTATCCCAGGTTTGGGACTGCAGAAGTTGGTTGATAGGGCAATCAAAACAGCCTGCTTTGCTGTGTGGTCAGAAAGTAAGTTATGTTGTTTCTCTGGGGCTTAGTATCCTACGTGTAAAATGACAATATCAGGCTCTACTGTGTGATTTGTGATTCTATTATTGTCAAATAATCACCCTGTTGTCTCAGCACTGGGAATGGTTGCAGAGCATAGTAAGTTGGTTTTTGACTTTCATGTTCTTCCAAGATAGTTGTAGTATTGAAAACTGAAATTTCCTGTCTTTGTGGTTTTTGACTGTTTGCCATTTGATACTTCTAGAACACAGAGGAGTGAGACACCATATTTCCAACAGAACTACAGCAGACCCAGGTAAGCTGTGTTGCTCTTTCACCCAGGAATGTAGCAGTAGGGTGGAATTGCTTTAAAAGACTTGCAACTCTACCTGAAATAGAGATTTGGTGTGATTACAATTCCAAATCCTATTTTCCATCATTGTAGTTGTGTTTTGATTTCAGGAAAGTAAAGAAATTACGGAGGAAGGTAATGACAGTTGCAATCTTTTCCATAGGATTGACTGTCACATACTGTTCTAAGGACTTGAAAATGATTAACTCAGTCTTCACACCACTCTCACAAGTGAGATATAATCCCTCCTATTGTGCAAATGAGGAAACTAAAGCACAGAGCAATCAAGAAAGAAGTTTTTCTTATATTAGTAATAGATGCCATAGCAAGCAAAAGGAAATGGAGCCCTTTTGAGACAATGAAAACCAATGATAAAAACAGGGCAATTTGGAAATTTAGTATCAAGAAGCGTGACAGGCCAATTCTGTCAGGGTCTTCAATAAAACACACATTGACGGGAGACATCCACCTCTCTGCCACCTCTCTCCCTTGTTGACTTGGGTTCTCTAAAGAGGAAAAGGCATCCTGAGAACTAGGCCTCAGGGCACCTGAGTGTGGCCTTGCCAGCTTCCAATCACCTGTTAGATCTGGTTCTCAAGGTTTGAAGTTTTGAAATGTATCTCCAGTATTGTTTCCAAGTCACTCGTTTGTTAGGTCTTCTTAAACTAGGTTGTCACTTTTTAAAAATGTGCTTAAATCACCTTGCTCTTGAGATTCCAGAGCCATCATTTCCTTTTCTGCCTCTTGGTTCCAAGAAAAGGCCAACTTTCTAAAGAGTCACTCATTACTCTATCTGGTGCTCCAAGTCCATGCAATTGTGTGGAATAAATAAATGATCCCCTTGGAGTTTGATTAGTCTGGTTGCATGGTATAGATTCGCCAGTCCTCAAAATGGAGATCATTTATTTATGCCACAAAATCACATGATTGAAATAATAATATAATGAAAGATAGGAGTTTTGTTGCCTGAGCAAACCCTTGGCAGTTGGAGGTAGCTTTAACGAGTCAAGAGAGTATTTGGATGACTGAAAAAAGCAAACAATTTGCTCTGAGAATAGTTTGAACTAGTTGTGCCGGAAGTTTTTTTTTTAATTCAAATGAGTTCATGAAGAACTTAGGCAAATTCTTGAGTGATAAACAGAGACAACAAGATTGAGAGACAGATCTAATCTCCCACACAGGCACAGCTAGGTGACAAGACGCTTAATTTGAGACTCTTCGTACTTGGTCCACTGTAGAGCTTCTGATTAAGCCATTGTGCTGACCTGCAAGGGTGTACATGGGTATAGGGGTACGATGCAAGCCCTAAATTATTAGCAACCTGACTCCAACCCAGAACTTCCAAAGCAAAGCTTCCATTACATCATGTAATTAATATACCAAACCTAGGGATTAACCCTCTGCAACTGCTACTCCATCCCTCCACAGTCAATGATCACATAGCCATGAGAGCCTCCCAGACCCATTCTAATAGTCCCACTCGTGGGTGGGTTCCCTCACACTTTCTTGACTCTTCCTATTCTGACTCAGCGTCTTCTCCCTGCCTTCCTATTTCTTGCCTGGCAGAAGCCACCATGGTGGCCGTCCTACTGGGCATGATCAGTGCTCTAGCCCAGCCTTGACTTCCCCGACTAGCAGTACTCAGCCTGCAGCGCCCGGTCCCTTCAGTGCCCGGTCCCTTTAAATCCATCCGCGTGGTTGCTAGGCAACGGTGCGGCCCGCGCTGGAGCTGCACTGCAGAGGCTCTGCCCCGGGCCAGCCTGGCCAGGTCGTGGTGGCTAGCACTGAACAAGGGGCTGCCGCCTGCCGGTGGTGGCCGGCTTCGGGGAAGAGTGGACAGGGCTCTCCAGACCGCACCCGCGCTTCCAGGTATGTCTGTGGAAGGGACATCCCCGGCTCCCCTGGTGTGCCCCTCTTTACCCCCTGACTCGCCCAGCAAGAAGGCGGAAAACCAAGGAAGTCCCAGCAGCAGGTTTTTTTTTCTCTTGAGTCCTCCAGGCTGGAGCAAGCGAGTGTTTGGAAAGAGAAGAAACAGGGCGTGGGAAAGGGGTTATGGAAGGAGAAGTGAGGTCAAGCTTGTCCATTCCCCGGCCAGCTACAGGATCGGGACTGGGGAGGTGAAAAGTGTCACCTGCAGTGGGGGTTCTAGCAACATCTCGTTCCCAGCCACCTTCTTTTCCATAGCAGCAAGGATGGCAGGAGTTTCAGTTAACCATTCACAGAGAAAAATCTCCAAACTATGCATACAAAGATACAGCTTTATAGCAAGAATGTGACTCCCATAGTAATAAAGTCTAAGCCTTGGGAACTCAGGTGACTCTGTATCTTTTCTTCAAGAAGGAATCATTTCACACTAATAACAAAGAGTTGGAGGGTGATAACCATACAGTGTACCCAGTTTTTAATGGTACTTTGTTTCTCTCACCATACTGGTCAAACAATAGAAAAGAATCTGTCCAGGGAGGTGGACACTTGACCCATATGTTAGGGCGGTGGAAAGATGAAAGCAAAAAGCAAGATCACGTCTCTTTGTCGTGTTTTTACAAATGAACTAAGGGAGGGAAGCCAGTCCTAGGCTCCAGCAGCAAGCTACCGTCTCGACCACCAGTGGCTTGTTTGTCCAATGCTCACTAAGTGAGGAGATACTGTGTCACCATGATTCTTGCCCCACTTGACATTTGTGTTCCCTGAGGAAGGAAGGCAGGAGCATAGCAGTTGGCACAATGTATTGAAAACTTAAAAGGAGAAATTCCTTCTGTCTCGTGCCACATTGCAGATAGACCCATGGACATTCTATGTGTAGCATGTGTGACTTTAATGCACTCTTCAGAGACTAACACGAGTTTAGACATTCTTGAAATTATATTTCCTGACTATATTTCACGGGGTGGGGGTGGACTGTTTTTTTCCAGCTCAAGTTGGAGGAGACCAGTGGCATCCGGTCTAAGACCTTGGACCTCAGGAAGGGTAAGTACAGTTGTTCTGGCTGTTATCTCATCCTGGGAGTTTAGAAGCCCAGAGCCTTGCCCAACATAAACCTTCAACTTTGTAACCCAATCATAAGTCTTCATTGTCAGTATGCTTTCAAGACGGCCTCATAAACATTCAAAAGCAAAGTGCCCTGAAGACTTTAGCTAAGCCAAATAAACTTCAAGGGAAAAATTAAAGCCCTTGCCCTAAAATGTCATCCAAAGCACTTTGTAAGCTAGAGAGGAGATTATGGATTTTCTTTTCTTCTTCTTAAAAAAACAAAACCATTCAATTAAAATCAAGTGTTACCAGATACCAGTGTGACCATTATACTTGGCTCTGGGTCTGAATGCTTGCCCATGTTAACAGAAAAAAAAGGGAATATGACAACTATATATGAAGTGGAAAAGTGAATTTACTCATAGTTTTAAAGAGAAAATTTTCAGCTTTTCCTATAGCCAGTGTTACAGCTTTTAGAAACACCAGGAAATGTGCATATGTAGATTTTAGCTGTGAGGCCCCATTTACTGGGATTGGGACTTAGTCCTGGTGTCAGGGATCACAGTTCTTGAGGTGGGCCATTTGCTATTAACCACCTGTGAAGTAGGTTCATCACCTCTGTTTTATACCTTAAAACTCTGCGCTTCCTAGAAGGCAATGCTTTAGCGGTTCTGAAACATGAGCGCCAGGATAGCTAGGCTTCTCTCATCTTCCTCTGCCCCAGCCTGCACTTAGTCCTTTGCCAAGATTTCCCCTTTCCAGCTTCCCTCGGTTTGTCTAGTAAAACACAGATCCGCTTGGACTGCACACAGTTCACTTGGGTCTTCATTTTGTTACTATGTGGTTTTTTTTACAACTTAGGGAAAGAGGGTGGGGAAGGTATCCTAGAGGAACCAGGTCACAATTGTCTCTGTTTCCTGCCTGGAAGCAATGAAAATTTTTTAAAAATGTTACAAGACTTCCTTTTTTTTTCTTTCCTGAGACAGAGTCTCAGTTGCTCTATAGACTGAGCTGGCCTCGAACTCACAGAGATCTGCCTTCCTTTGCCTCCTGAGTGCTGGGATCAGACATGTACCCCCATGCTTAGCCAAGTAACATACATTCTTTTCCTATTTTGGCTGAGCAGTTTTTCTGAGGGTCAAAGAGTAGAAACCACTAGGTATAAAGAGAGGGTGTTCTTTGAACTAAAAGGGGGCCCTTTGTTTTCATCTAATGTTCCCTAAGGGATGACTGAAAGTTAGACCTTTTTTAAAAGATTTATTTTATGTACATGGGTATTTCGCCTGCATGTACAGATACATGCACTACATACATACCTAGTACGATAGATTCCCTGGAACTGGAGTTACTCACAGTTGTGAGCTGCCATGTGGGTGCTGGGAATTGTAAACCAGGTCCTGTAGAGGAGCAGTGAGTGCTCTTAACTGTTGAGCCATCTCACCAGCCTGGAAAGCCAGCTGAGGGAAGTTGAGTGACTAAGTAGGGGCAGACATTGCTCAACATGGGTTGGGGGAGGTGAACTTTAGCAACCTCCACTCCACATCTACATAGCTTGAGAAGGAGGACCTTTGTGAGATGGGCAAAACCTCTGACATCCTCTCATAAACCGCTGCCCAGTAACTACCTACCTATTGTTCTTTTGTCAAAGTTTAAAAATTAGAAAAAAGAAATTAGAAAGGACACGAGAGATGAGATGGGCATGATGGAGCACAAGCCATGGAGAGCTGCCATATAGAGTACATTAACCATAGTTTATTAGAGCGAGGAGAGTGGGGGGGCAGACATGAGAAATGCGAAGAGGGGGATGGAGAGAAGAAGGGGTAAAAGAAGAGCGCAGGGAGTGTAAGAGAGTGGAGAGCCTAGAGAGGGCTTGGGGGGGGGGCTGTCTCTTAAAATGGTTCTTTGTACCTGCGTGCAGGCTGTACTCATGGAATCCTGGGCTGACCAGGGTGCTGCCCTAGTGCATTCTGCCAGGTGACAGGGCAGGCCAGCGTAATGCCTGAGCCTTTCACCTATGCCGGAACAAACAGATGCACTTACAGACAGACTTATATTTATACCAAGATAGTTCTGAAAATTTGAAAGCATACTCTTATGTAAATGGGATAACACAACAGAGGGATAAAACCGTATTGGTATTGTAACAGGAACTTTCCCAAAGCATATGATTTCAAATACAAATATTTTAGAAAACAAATAATTAAGTTTTTCTTCCTTAATGGAAGATTCCTCCCCAGGGCCTGACCTTGAACATGAAAAAGAAGTGGTTTTATTGATTTCTTCTTTCCCAATAAACAGTTGCATATCATTTTCTGAAGCTGTATAAAGATAGGTATACTTTCACCGAGTATTTTCAGTACAATGATATATCTGAGAGTCTTAATAAATAATCACTCTTGGCTTTGTCCTTGACATTAATGTTGTTACATCACATTACGTTATTATTTCACTCTCAATTTGTTTTATCAGTGATTCCAAAACTCTTTTTCGTAGCTTTTTGTTTTGTTTTGTTTTGTTTTTGAGACAGGGTTTTTCAGTGTAACAGCCCTGGCTGTCCTGGAACTTACTCTGTAGGCCAGGCTGGCCTCAAAATCACCTGCCTTAGCCTTCCAAGTGCTGTGATTAAAGATGAGTGCCACCAATGCCACCTGCCTTTCATAGAATTCTTGACCTTTAGTGATACTACTATTTCATATTTCAGCCTTTCTAGAAGGCTCTCCCTCTTCCCCTCTTCTTACTCTCCCTCCTCTTCCTCTTTGTCCTCTCCTTCCTCGTCCTCAGTTCACTGGAGACATCTTTGACACAAATCTTAAGCACAGAGGTTAACAGAAAGAGAGGTGCTCAGGAAACAATAAGATGTACCCCACATGTGTTTCTTAAGGAAGAACTGCCATTAAGTAGCCAACTGCTTTGAAAAAAAATGTAAAACATGAAGCAAGCCATCCCTTGCTGGACAAAATGCCCGAAGTATTTTGCCACCATAAAATAATCCTCAGAGGATAAATAGTAATATTTCCAGGTGGGACACTAATTAGAATGATCAGAAGTCAATCATTAATTCATGCCAGACACAAATGTAGATACGGTTGTTTAATATAACAGTGCAGTCCCAATGCCTTTCAAGGAATAATTGTGGAAGAGCTCTAATGTTATTTTTGTCATGACTTTATTTTTTTTCTGTCTGCATTTTGACGGGATTCTTTGAATTTTTCATTTCTCTTGGGTCCTTCAAGGGTCAACGTAAAGCTGAGTAGACACACGAACAAATGTGCACACTGCCCAGCTGAAAGGGCATGTTTATATTTTCTGTAATGGTTTCCCTTCTGCTGAGGCAAATTACCTAGTAAAGTTGATTGAGAACAAAATGGCTGCCAGGCCAAGGGGGAGGGATGTCATTATTTTTAAGGCATATTCCCTGTCCTTGCTCAGAGTCCTCACAACATACTTGTTCTGCAGTAGCAGCAAACAGCACTGAGAAGGTGCTGCTGACAGCTTTCACCCCTTGTTGGAGCTTTGCCACACTCCAACTGAATGTGGGAACAAGTCCTTAAAGGCTGCCTCGCCAATGAAAGAGAAAAAGGGAGCATCTGGGAGACCCCTTGACCCTGCCGGTGGTAGCCTGGGGAGAGGAATGCCAGGGAGTCTTTCAGACCTTTCTTTCTCTCTTCCCCTCCCCCTGTCAGCTTTTCTCTCCTCTTGTGCTCCTTAAAGGATAACCTAAGCTCTGCAAACAATGCAATCTGTTCTTTTGCTCTGTGGAATGACACCTAGCAGATGAAGGAAGGGGGTTTTCAGAACAAGCACTGACCTGGGAGACAGGAACTCGATTTTATCACTACAGGCTATGTGGCCTTGTTCAAGTCACTCAGTTTCTCTGAAGTGGTTATTTAATCAATGGACTCCTCCAGGTTCTTGGATAAAGGACTGGATTTCTAGGATTCATTGAAAGGTAAATCCTTTGTGGCATTCAGGGAAGTCTACCAAAGAATGGGGAAGAAAGATAGGGAAAAATGACAAAGTGTGTGTGTGTGTGTGTGTGTGTGTGTGTGTGTGTGTGTGTGTGTGAAGAGCATCATTAAAACCAGTAACTTCTATGTACCCAGACCTCTGTCTTAGATGGTTTCCTATTTGTATGTGCAGGTGTAAAGTGAGAGCCCTCACCTTAACTGCACACAGCTCACCTCCGTCCTGATCAGTCCCACCACTATCTTCGCGCAGAATTAGGGGAAAGCAGACTGTCACTTGGTCAGTCATCTCTCTCTGCCCTTGCTACCATTACAAGCTTTTTTAAACAGAATTCTCTGGTAAAATTTTGACTTTTGAAAGAATGTGGCGAACAGGCTAACCCTGCTGTCTTTCCTCTCGCACTGGTTCCTTTTCCTCACGATTGAGTGTTGTTGCTCTCTTGACTCACTTGTGGTGATGTTTCTAAATAAGCACAGACAGTCATATCATAGATTCTTCTGGATTGTGACTAAAAGAATAAGAAAAGTCAGAAAGGACTATTTCTAGAAAAACCATGATTCTGGCAAATGTACACCATGAATTTCTTGTCTGTGTTTGTCACTATGGTCTGGGAATGGAATCCAGGATTTGTTACATACTAAATAAACACTCTGTCACTGAGCTACACTCCAGCCCTGATTAACTAAACTTTTTTAGCTTGTTTGTTTTTTTTTGAGACAGGGATCTCACGAAGGCCATGCTGATCTCAAACTCTGTGTAGCCAAGACCGGGCCTTGAACTCCTGGTCCTTCTTCCTCCACCTCCCTGGAATGCTGGAGTTACAAAGTGTGTGCTATCTACCAAACTGGCAGCAATTGCCCTTAATTTTTATCAACTTGGATGCTGGTTGTGATTTTCTAGGCTATTTTCATATACTCAGAGTCTATATAAGAAAACACTTTTTAGGGGCAGGCAGATCTCTGTGAGTTTGAGGCCAGCCTGCTCTACAAAGCGAGTTCCAGGACAGCTAGGACTACACAGAAAAACCCTGCCTAGAAAAAAAACAAAAAACAAAAAGAAAAGAAAAAGAAAACACTTTTAATAGCATCAATATTTTCAATTGTTGACATGGCAGCTCATTATAAAATCGCTATCCGAACAGAGAGAATTCCGTACACTTGGCAGTCTTTCCCAAAGGCAAAACCTAAGACTGGACTAGCAAGAATTCATAGGTCAAGGCAGAAGGGCATTTGGCAGAGTTAGTCATGAGGAAGTCTGCTTGGTACACTTTACCAGAAGCAGCTCATGTTGCATCAAGCCTTGAAGTTTCAGTCACTCTAAGTAATTCTGCCGGAGAGAACTAGACACAAAGTAAGACACATTGAAGGAAAAGGTATTACCAGTATTTGCCTAGTAATTTCAAAATAACCTTTTTATTATGTTAAAGCAGTCTGTTTTCGTGCGTGCAGTTGCCTTCCCATAAAACTGTCTACAATGAATAACTAAATATATTCATTTACAGGTTCTATTTCATGGGATGGAAGAATTTTCAGGAGCAGGTTTTTGCAGAACTTAGCTACATTAGCCCTTTATATTTATAAACAAGGAAAATAGGTCCAAGTCACTCTGTTAGTTTGAGGAGAGCTGGCCCTCAAATGTTCAGGTGCAAATCAGCATTCTTAGATCTTTCTACTACTGGACTACCCATGGAGATAATAGGCTTGGTTTTAACTCTTGTTTTTCAGGAAATCAAAGAGGTGCCCGACAAGATGGATGCTAGACGAAAGCACTGGAAAGACAATACGTTCACTCCCCTTTTAAATGAGCACAATGTTCTAGAAGATGCTGAGCCTCTTCAGTCTTTCTCTGAAGAAACAACTGAAGACAGATCCAGGAGGATAGAGAGAATTTCTAACTTTTCCAGTAGAAACGTTCAGGAAGGAAATAAATTTAAGAGGAAAGACTATTCTTCCCAGATACCAGAAAGAGAACAAGACCCCAATTTAAGAGAGAGAAGGATGAACACGTCAAAGAATGTAGCAAACGCAAATTCTGTTGCCTGGGACTTGCATAGTTGGGATGGTGCAACGAAGGAAAGTTCTCCCAAAAGGGAGAGTGCCTCTGCATGGAATAAGAAGGAATTGCTGGCTGCAGCACAAGGCACCAGAAAGAAATGGACAGAAGCAATGACTCCAAAACTCCGCCTGCACCTCCTGAACGAGGAGCTGGGAGAACTTAACCTGAAATGCCGGAAGATCGAAAAGGACTTTGAAAATGCCGAAAAAGAACTTTTGAACTCTCGAAAGGAAGCCTCAGTGAAATCGGTCAATTTTCAAGAACCAGGAACAGCTGCTTCAAAGAATGACCGGGAACTGCAAGCTTTAAAAAATGATCTGTCTGAAAAAGCCACAAACGTAAAAAGCTTAACCCAAGAGCTCCAGCAAGCCAAAGAAGTCATGTACAGGTTGAATCTGGAGAACAGAAACTTGAAAGATGCTTTCAAAAAACTGAAGCGTCAAATTGAACTCAGTACCACACTCCTGAGGGAAGAGATGAAATTGTTTCATGAGCTGGAAATGGAAAAGATCCGCTTCGAGCTGGGTACCATCAAGAATGAACTGAGAGCTGAGAAGACCCTGCGAGCTAAGAACACCAGAGGCCTGGAGTTGCTTGGAAGACACGTTGCTTCCGTGGTAAGGTCATCGCATACCGCTGACCACTTTACTGGGAATGCTTTTTAAACTTAAGGGAAAAAAGCCTTTCACTGGGCAAGCAATTGAGCCAAATCGATGTTTATTGTACTATGTATTTGTGTACTGCTAAAATGTATTTGATAGCTTGTAATCTTTATGGTGAATCAGAATCATGCAGATATTAACTTTGAAACGACTGTTTTTTTTTTTTGTTTCTGATGAAGTCATTGTGAGAATCCTAATGGAAACTCCTGAAATCTCTTTTATATGGGTGCACATATATCACTAAATATCACTAAAACAAAACAACACCAAAACACCCAGAGTATTCACCAGATCATGGAGGAATCAGAATCAGCAGCATCGTGTGATCTTGTAAGCCATGTCCTTGGCACATTGATGTTCTCCCATCTGTGGTTTTCAATGTGAACAATAAAAATCTTGTTTACATGGATAAGCATAAAATATGCCTGTGAGTTTTGTAGTTGCCTGCTCAAACACAGCAGGATAAAAATGCATCTGCTTTCTTTGGGGTCTAACCTTAATTAGACACATGTAAACATCTCCGGAACACAGTCTCCCCTGCTGATTTCCCCATGCTTTTTCTTTGGACTTGGATACAGTTCCCATAGACAAAGAATGATTTAGAGTCACTGTTCTGACCTTTGCTAGAAGCAGGGCCTCTGTCAGCCATGGCTCTTGCATTTTCTCTCATTGGCCAGCAAGGGGCATTTTGTTTATGCAGTTCTTCCAGAGTTCAGCCAGGGTGAATTTTCCAAGCTCCTTGTCTGGCTTCCATCACTGAGCTAGGGCTGCTGTGAAAGGTGTTAGATGTCATCTAGACAAACTTCTAGAGTGCTGGCTTGATTTAGGTTATCACCCACCCCTGTACGGGGCCCAGAAAATGGGAATTTGCTTTGTATTTACAAAGAGGGAAAGTGTGCTGCCTCTGTCCTTCAGTGGAAATGAAGGCCCAGATTGATTCCCTGCAATGGTGGTGTTGACCATCCCGATTTCTGGAAATCACACACTTACTTGCATTTTTTGGAGATTATAATATAATTACATCATTTCTTCCTACTCTTTCCTCTCTCTAAACCACTCACATGCCCTCCTTATTCCATTGCAAATTCATGGCCTCCTTTTTCAATAACTGTTGCTACATACCCATATGTATATGTAGTTGCATATGCAGGGGTATTCCTAAATATAACCTGGTTAGTCTGTACAACGCTACTTGTATGCATGTTTTCAGGGCATTTGGCATTGGGTAACCAGTTGGTGGGCTCTTCTCAGGGGAAGACTATTTCTCCCACTTTGAGCATCTCTTGGTTTGCTGTAGTTTGTTGTGTAAACCTGAGGCCTCATGGGCTTTCTCCAGTCCATTCTGGCATATCTATTCCTGTGGTCCTTGCTCAGATCATGTTTAGGCAGTCATGTTGGTGAGATTTTATGGGTGCAGTTTCTGACACTCCTCGGAGACACAGTCTCATAGTAAACTCCCTAATCCTCTGGATCTTACAAATTTTCTGCCACTCTTCCAAAATGTTCTCTGAGCCCTAGGTTCAGGAGTTGTTTTATAAATGAATCCATTGGGACTGTGCTCCATAACTGCATTTTTATTGAGAGGAGTACATTTATCTGTGAATATAAGGACAAGCATTTAGAATGTAGTTAGGACTATGCTGGTTTAGTAAAGGAGCAGTTGTAGGTTCTTCTCTAAGATCTGTGACTTTACTAGCCCTGTTTTGTTTATTTTTTAATGTAGTGTATAGAAACAAGGGAATCTCTAATTATTTTAATAATTTTATTCATATGGCTGTTTTGCACGCACAAATATATATGCACCACATATGTGCCTGGTGCCTATGGAGGCCAGAAGAAGGCATCAAATGCCCTGGAACTGGATTACAGGCAATTGTGAGCCACCAGGACAAACCCGTGTCCTCAGGAAGAGCAGCCAGTGCTTTTAACCTCAGAGCCATCTCTCCAGCCCCTTATTGGGATCTTTTTAAGTCCAAATGAATCAAATGTAATCACAGACTATGAGAGTGGGATACAGTCAGAAAGGTGGTGAAATCCCCAAACTGGGAGTTGGGGTACTGTGATCTCTAGCACACGCTTTCCCATTGACTATTTAATTTCTTCTAGATCTAAAAGCCCTAATTTATACAGTGAAAAAGCAGATCTGTCTTCAGAGCTGACTATGGTGGCATGGCCCTGTAGTTGCATCACTCCAGAGGCAAGAGCAGAGGGCTCACTGGAGCCTAGAGGCCCAAGGCCAACGTGTGCATTATAGAGATAACCCCATCATTTACAAAACATTCTGTCCAGGTTTTAGGTATGACTTCAACTTAATGATTTTTTTCTTCGAAAGTATAACTAACCATACCTGTGAGGAGGTGAAATTCAACTCTAATATTTTGGGGCACCTGTACTTCACACCTGCCTTTCCAAGGCAGTGTATACAGGCTCTCTATGTTATTTCAACATCTCCAAGCATTGTGCCAGTAAATCTGTGGAACAAGTTAAGGAGGTTGTTTCTCCTTTCTCTTATTTTTCTTTATTCATTAAGACCAGGGAAGGTAATGAATGGAAGAAAGTCAGCTGACCCAGAGGCTAGGCAAGGTTGCCTGGCCAGGGAAGACTGAATTCAAGTGGAAGACATCAACGTTGGTGCTTTCTCACTTAGTCATAAAGGTAATGCAGGCACTGGTAGCCTGTTTCAAAGCAATGAAGATGTTTGGGGCTTTAGTGGTCCCTCTGACTTCCCACCAAGAGGCTACCTGCCAAAGGAGACCAGGAAATTTCTGCCCTACTTGGATCATTTGTTCTTCAACACACTCTTAAAATTGTTCATTTGTCTTTGCCCCATAAAGGTGCTCATTCCTTAATGATAGTATGCTGAGCTGTCACAGTGTGCTACACTACCAAACTTAATCATTCAATATAATTCTGTTTTTGTGTATGTGGTGCTGGGCATCAAACCCAAGGTCTTGTTCATGCTAGAGCAAGCACACAGCCACCATTAATGTATTTTTTTCCTTCCCTCCCTCCTTCCTTCCTTCCTTCCTTTCTTCCTTCCTCCCTCTCTCCCACCCTCTGTCCCTCCCTCCCACCCTCCCTTCCTTCCTCCCTTCCTTCATTTCTGTCCTTTTTTGAGACAGATCCTCAGTGTGTAGCCCTTGTTGACCTCCAACTCCAAATCCTTCTACTCCACTTTCCAATTGCTAGTGAAATGTACAAGCATTTTTAAAATGGGAGTGGCACATTAGATCACTCATTCCTTTAGTTTGTTAAGTTTCGAATTTGAAATCAGCAATGAAACCACCAAGTGCCACTGAGTCCTTAACTCTTCCACCAAGAAACCTGGGTTGTCAGTATTATTAAAATGTGCTCCATCTAGGGCTCCAGTTCTATAATATTTTTCTGAGCCTTTATTATCATAGCTCCTTACTTATTTTAGAAATAGTTTGTGTACCTGGTGTATGTGTGGGGGTGGGGGTGGAGGCCACAGGTCAACAGTAGTTGCCTTTCATCACTCTCCACTTTATTTTTGGGGTCTCCCACTGAACCTGGAGCTCACCAGCTGACTAGACTGAATGGCCACTGAGCGCCTGGCTTCCTCCTGTCTCTACCTCTCAGTGCAGGGTTACAAGCACACACAGCCATGCTCAGTTTTGTGTTGGATGCTGGGGCTCCAAATTCACATTGTTATACTGGTGCAGCAAGTACTCTACCCACTGAGCCTTTGCTGCAGCCCCCATCCTTCATATATTCTAATGCAGGCTTTAAGAAACACTTGACTTTTCTGAATTTAAGACACAACTTCAAATTAATGGCATGTCACAGTATAGTTGTTAGTATTTTCTTCTGAGTAGTTTTTGAAATACTGGTATATCTCTCAGTCAGTGCGGTTTCAGATATGGTGAAGTATGAAATTTGCTAGCCTGGGGATATGGGAATCAACGGATTTATGAATATAACCGGCCTCTCTGACCTCATCAATGAACTAAAACAAAGTGCTAAGAACTGTAGTAGCAATGTTAGTGTAAAGTGGGTTAGAGCATGGAGGAAGAGCGATGAATTCTGGCCCTGAGGCTAGGAATATTCAGAAAGGAGGTGTCAGTAGGACTTGCCCGTGACACGGAAGGCAGAGCCATTTCTGAAATGTGAATGTGGAGGGTTCATTCTGCCTCCAAGAGAACTCTTGGCAGCAGTGAATTAAAAGGTCTTGGATGCTGTGCAGTGCTGAGTTTTTAAGTCCCACTTAAACTCCTACTCTGGGAAGCTCCTGGGACTTCCAACTCCTGCTCCTTTTCAGCTATGTCAAAGCACGATGTCCTCAGGATGTAAAGCCTGGGTTCCAGATGACAAAGGCAGAAAAATAACTGTGCCAGTGCCAATAGACCTTTGGTAGCCATTCTTTTTATTTTGGAAACAATATGCCTAAGAAACATCAGTGGTAATATTGAGCAGATACCATCCCAAGCAGTCTGGCTTCAAAAGCAAGCATGAAAGAGAAATTCCACAGTTGATCTCTCTCCAAAGAGGCTTCAGAGACTGAATGTGCAGGCTAACATAAGTCACTTACTACTCATGTGAACTTGGCAACTCGGGTTCCGCATCTTCTAAGCCAGGATCAATAGTCTTGTTGGGAGGATGAGCAGAGATTACAAAGATTCAGTACAAGTCCCCTTCATTGTAGTTACTATGATCTTAACTGACAATGTAAAAGCATATCTATCTCCTTATTGATATGCTTCCTGTAATTCCATTCTCTGGAGAGTGTATCATTTGTCATATGATATATACATATATACCTTAGTGGATATGTGCATGTTTGGGAAAGTAGATCAAGTGATAGGGAGAATATTTTGAGTTTGTTACTACATGAGGCTTTAACCCAAAATAATGAATCTGCTAGATGGCCTCTCTGGATACTTACTTCCTGCAACTGAAATTTCTAGAGTCAGAACCTACCAAGCCCCTCCCTAGTGAAGGCTGTGTAAAGTTGTCCCTGGCAAGTAGAGTACCAGAAAAGGGACGAAGGCTCTGCTTTGGTTCTCCATTGTGAAAAAAAAACCATCTGAGAAAATGGAATAAAGGCAAGAGAAATTATTATAGTATTTTCTGTTTCCCTTTAGACAAGGAGCTATGCAGCTGGGGACCCACCACTAAACTGCATTCAGAGCAGAATAAATACATCATTGTCTTTTTTTACATCATTGTCTTCTTATTTGTACCCTAAAGACACTAATACTATAGTTAGACATGTACTGTACATGTACCCTCATTCCCATACTGAATATCAACGGAATGTCTGCCTGCTTCAGATGTCAAAGCTACTGTAGTAGTGTCCTTAGTCCTCTCGTCCTCTCCTCTCTCTCTCCCTCTCTCTGTCTCTCTCTCTCTCTGTCTCTCTCTCCCTCTCTCTGTCTCTCTTCCTCTC